AAAGAGCCAGGGCTTGCTTGCAGAAGAAGGCAAGGTTGAGGAGCCTTTTATTTCTTTATGCCCAACTCAGTGCCTGGCACTCTCTGTGAATGGAATAAACTGATCAGATGGTGGGTAATATCCCTTTCACCTTTGAGAAGACAAGTGAAATGAAGAATATCATCCAGAAGTGAAACTACATTTTTAAGGAAACTCTATTTCCAGAACTGTTTTAAGGGCATTTTATTGCAGATTTAGGTCAGACATTTAGAACTACCTCCTTTGGTGAGGACTTAATCCAGTCTAGTTATAAGTGAATGAACTTGGGAACCTTGTGTGTCTGAGTGGCATTCCCCTCTCACTAAGGGCAGCCTCACCGTTGACCAGCCTGGCCTCCTTTTCTCACTCTGCATCCCTTCTCTGCATCCTTCCGGCTCCGTGGAGTGGAGGGAGGGAATGCTTGGCCCTCTGAGCTGGAGTTAATGCAAAACCCGAAAATAGACTCTCAGACTGCACCCAGACATAATGATTCCGTGAGGCAAGAAGGTCACTGTGTCTGCTTTTCCTGCCAACACACCCCTGGCTCTTAATCTGTGGCTGCCTTGTGAAGCAAGAGAGCTGTGCCAGGAAGTTACACTTTGTGACTGTGAGGCATTATGAGAATTTAAAATCATGTCAATGAGGATCTGTAAGGGCAGGCCAGGGGACAGGGGTTAGACATAGATTTCGAAGCCGACCTTTGAACATCCTTTTTGTTCTGTGGCCCCAGCTACAAATCAACTCCACCCTGCCAACCCTGACAAAAATTTAAAAGTTTACTGTGGTTATTCAAGTGGTGGGGTTTTGAGTGATTTTTATTTTCTTCGTGCTGTTCTGTACTTTCTGTAACGTATATTCTTGTTTTTGCAATGTGGAAAAAAAAAGAAAGCAACGAATCCTGTTCAACAAGGAAAAGTATACTAGCTAATCATCTCATTGTGTTTCTTGAATGCTTGGTACCTGGGGGTTGAGAAGCCCACCGGAGTCGTGACAGTGACATGGAAGGGGCAGCCCTGCCTCTGCCCCACATCAGGCCTAAGACCAGGGCTGGTGTCCACAGCCCTCGCCCCATTGCCAGGTTCCAAAGGGCTCCTGGAAGAGGCCAGACCGCAGACCCTGAGAGGACTAGAGGCAGCCTAGGAGAACAGGAAAGGGAGCCAGCCAGACGCCTCGGCAGGAAGGAGGGGATTCCGCTCCCATCCAGTGGTCAGGCCTGTGGGATATGTGCCTGTCAGCAGGGACAGTGTCCGCTCAAGTTCATCTGGAAACACTGCATTCTCCTCCTGAGAACGTCCAGTTGATGCACATTGTTCTGGAAGTTGGGCAGATCCTATTTTCCAAACCTGTAAGAGTCGAGTAAAATGTAACAAATATCTGGGAGAAAATAACCCTTTGAGGAATTCCAAACATGCTCTTAGGGTTGGGAAGCAAATTTATTTAGACTTGGGGCCTTGACCACCCGGACTGGTTATTGACGGGAACTCAGTCTATCCATCAAGCCTGCCACTATCCACTGAGTCCAGGCTGTCCCAGGCTCAGGAGCTCGAGGTGAGCAGACTGGGCAGAGATGGTCCATACGGACCATGAAACTGTGTCCTCTCACCTTTAGACATAAAGAATTCCTCCTGCAAGTTTCTCTTAAGTCCTCTATTTCTTACACATCGCGTGTAGCTCTATTATTGGATGCAGCGGGGTTCCTTGCTCCACTGGATCTGAATGCTTTGAACTTGAGGTCAAGTTCAAGCCCACAGCACACAGATTGGGAACAGAATTTCTTGCACTCTATGTGGTAGACTATGTGTCAGCGAGATAAGGCCCTTATTAAGAATGGATTATTCTTCATAGGTGGTAGAGATCTCATTCATCAGTTTCTTGCATTTGCCTATGTGTTCCCCTATGATAAGGCAGTGTCCCTGGATTTTAAGTGGTACACAAAAAACCAAAAACTTAGTACTAATGTATTTATTGTAATGTCCTTTACAAATATATATAACAAGCTCATCAAACTTATCATTTCATGAATAACTTTAAGACAAGGCTAAAATAGGTTAACTTTTTAAAGGAAAGTAATTTTCAAGACACATTGAGCAGATAATTGTGTTATGGAACACAGATATGGGAAAAGTCAGAAAGGTGGTGCATTTTTTTTTTTTTTTTTTTTTAATTTTGGCTGTGCGGGTCTTAGTTGCAGCATGTGGGATCTAGTTCCCCGACCAGGTATCAAACCCAGGCCCTCTGCGTTGGAAGTGTGGAGTCTTAACCACTGGACCACGAGGGAAATCCCCCCAAGTGGTTTTAATAATGGTTCTAGTAACTTTGAGAGAGTGTTAACGAAGACTTACTGCTCCTCTGGCCCAGAGTGCGAGAAGTGCTTATCTTCGCTTCAGATCTGGCTGCAGGGCCATCGTGCCCTCCCCTCTCTGATCCTCGATGTTTACGGACACCGACATGCTCGCTGTCCTGTTCATAAACACGTCCACTGTTTCTTGTGGGCTGAGTGTGTGCATGCGTTTTAAATGGTAGCAAGATAATGTACGGCGTCTAGGCCACCCCTGTTATTTCTATTAAATAATGACATGATGATGGTGGCCTGTAATTGTCCATTTTCTATTAACCACCCTGACCAAGTAAACTGTTTTCTGATCTCTCTTAGATGGAAATCCTGTATGAATGTGGAAGCCATTAGCAGAGTAATTGCTGTCCGTTACCATGACAACCAGCCGATGCAGTCACCTGCCCGAAGTGCTGCCAGACTGCACCAGTTCAGCTGCACCCGTGGTGAAGACCGTGGAGGACTGTGGCAGCCTAGTGAATGGGCAGCCGCAGTATGTCATGCAAGTTTCAGCCAAGGACGGGCAGCTGCTGTCAACAGTAGTGCGGACCCTTGCCACCCAGAGGTAGTACCACAGTTAAAAATCAATGAATCGGTAATCAATCCGGAGGGCTGTCAGATGGGAAATGCTAAAGGGAATGTAATTAGTGCTCAGGTCTTTGTGTCAGGTGAGAGGAGGTACCGGGAGGGGGAAAAAAAAAAAAACTACACATGTTCTGTCATTGCCGTTTCTATAGCAATGGGGCAAAAAGATAAAACTCACGTTGTGGACTTTTCCGCTTAAAGTCACACTTGCAGAGAGCCAGGCAGGGGAGGATCCCACAAGGCACAGGGTTGCTAGCTTAACATTTGTTATGTTGACCTTACTACAGTAAATTACATTTTCGTTGTCTCCAGGTGCTAACAAAGGTAGCCCTTTGTTAGAATAGAATGAAGGAGGCACCTGGTTTCAGATGACTGAGCCAAAGTGATTGGATATGTGGGCAAAACTTTTGAAGTGACATTCTGATGTGCACGCTAATCAGCATGCCGTGATGGGGGCCGTCCACAGCTACTTCCTGGGGGAGTCTCCTCTGGCACATCCCCACGTGGGGGCCTCCTCTGCTGCTTCCTCCTTCACTCTCCCTGCGTCCCAGCCACGATCCTTCATACACGCTCTGCCCCGTGAAGCATCATTGTCTCCCCCAAGTGATAGACCGGAGCCAGAATGAAGGCTCTGAGCAGCCTGGAGACGGCTTATCCAGGCCGGCACTCTGTTCCTGGAGGTCTCCTCTGGTGCTCTTGCCGCCCACTGGCAGGTTGAGAGCCACAGGCTGCCTGGCCACTAGGTACTCCTTGGCTTCTTCATTAGTTTCAGAATGGGTAAGTGGGATTGTGACTTACGACTGTAAAATACTGGACTTGCCCATTGGTTTCAGTGCTGACACTTCTGGCTCTGAAACTTTGGGTCAGTCACTCAGACCTCGACTGCTTACCTTGGTCTGAGCAATTCAGCCAACCCCTCCGGTGCAGATACAGGCCCACCTACGTGCCCCTGCAGCAGGACTCCTAGTGACACCACAACATTCTCTGTCCCCACCTCCTAGCCCCGGACGTGCTGGCCACCAGACATGGACTCACACACCGCCACGTGTTGTAAACATTATCCATGTGCCATCTACTTTCAATCCGTGCGGCTATTGCAAAGGGAAGAAATAGGGAAAAAAAAAAAAAGGTCAATATATATTTTTCCACCTCTGGGAAAACTTAACAATCGGTTAGGTAGAACTCAATATACAGTGAGACAATGAGCATCATTGCTCTGCTGTGAACTGAGATGCATAGTTATCTGTCTGCATATGACCCCATCACCCTCGAGCCATCAATCACCTCATTTGATCAGGAAGAACAGTCTGCAGAGCTGAAACGACTGAGACCTGTGAGCCAATGTGCGTGTATGTGTGTGTTCTACCACGTAGAAACGTAAACCAGAGCTTTTACAGTCTTACACGCATTTGGCTCAGTGTGAAAGACAGAGACCAGTAATAATGAGAGAAAAAAGTCAACTCTTTAAACTTTCTTTTCCCACCCCTGAGCATGAGGGGGTCTTTTGGCAAGTGGGAAGGAGATCCTTTCCTCTTTTAATCCCCTTTTAGCCTTCACTCATTCCCAGGATCATCCCCAGAAAGGCCTTTCCACAAAGATGGAGTCAAAGAGAGTGGTGGGCATAAGCCTGGAACACTGTCATCTCTGGGGGACAGGAAGAGGCGGGAGAAGGTGGGTAGAGTCTGGTCCTTGGGTTGGCGCATACAATGATGACATTTTAAAATCTAATACCCAATAAGGACCTCTAGCAATATAAGAAGACATTAATCAGAGAGGGATAGTCCTCCAGTATCCATTGAGAAGTGAAGCCATCTTGGTTTGAGCCTTCCATTGGCCTCTGACTTATGTGATGAGGGCCATGTTTTTTGATTTTCCCCAACCTGAGTTTTTCTACAAGTGAAAATAGTTACCATTAACTAGGCACTTACCATGTGCTGGTCCCTCTTCTAAGCTTGTAATCTGGACTATCTTTTCTCATCCTCACAGTTGCCATATGAGGAAGGCACCATGCTTTGTGCCCATTTTACAGATGAGGAAACTAAAGTCCAGAGAGATGCTTTAACTCACCCAAAGTTAGCCAGCTCGTGAGCAGCAGAGCTGGGGTTCGAGCCCAGGCAGCTGTACTCCAGAGCCTGCCTCACAAACCACTACCCTGTGTGTCCTCACAGAATGTGCAGGGGTGATGTTTCCAAGTTAAAGGCCAAGCTCTGGACTGAGGCCACCTTGGTAGCACGTACCATTACTCACTTTCAGCTTACTGTCCTTAGCGTCCCAAAGTGCATCCTCAGAAAGCTCCAAGGACCAAGCTGCCACAGCGTCATGCTCTGGCTCAGACTGCAGTTCTGTGTGGCAGCTTCAGGGTTGGCCGCCAGTCCGTTTCCCTCCTCTCACTCGCCTATCCCACTGAAAGAAGAAAGGAAAGGAACCTCTGGGCATTCAAAAGTGTCCCAGCCTGGTTCAAAAGATGCAGTTTGTCGAGAAACTACAATTGGTGTCGTTTCAAAACAACGTCTTAATAGCTAGGGATGATTTTTACTTTTTGATTTTGGTAGTTTGCCTGAAGTGCTTCGAAGTCTAAGGTAAAATTAACACATTGCTCCTTGTCACTCGCTTACGACCCTGGTCCCATCTGCTCTGGTATTGGTCACCCCCTATTTCTTTGTATTGACAGAAGTAGACGCCCAAGGACTCCAGCTCCCACTACCGAGTGCCAGTGTAGATCTCGGGTTGTAAACCAGGTGTCTGTTCTGAGCAGCTGCCTCGGGGGAGGGTCCAAAGGACACAGAGCCAGAGGACCACGGCATGGCGGTGGTTTCCAGCCCGTTACCAGAAGGTGCCCCTTCTTCTCTTGCAGCCCCTTCAATGACCGGCCGATGTGCAGGATCTGCCACGAGGGCAGCAGCCAAGAGGACTTGCTCTCTCCATGTGAATGTACAGGGACCCTGGGGACAATTCATCGGAGCTGCCTGGAGCACTGGCTGTCGTCCTCAAACACCAGCTACTGTGAACTCTGCCACTTCAGGTTTGCAGTCGAGCGCAAACCCCGGCCGTTAGTGGAGGTCAGTAATTGGGGCACGTCTTGAAAACTTAACTCTAATGAGCAAATGACGTCTGCTTTTATGCCCAGATCACAAACCCTGTACAGCTTCACTGAAGCACAGTAATAGCTCTGTGTGTGTTTGTGTGTGTGTGTGTGTGTGTGTGTGTGTGTGAGAGAGAGAGAGAGAGAGAGACAGACAGACAGACAGACAGAGCCAGCACTAAGGAGCCAACAGTAGAAAGGTGACCTCCACGAGGTGGAGACGAGAGAGTGGGAGAAATCAGTGTGAGGAGAAGGGACGTTTAGAGACTTGATCTCCATTTCCCATTCCTGTGACGTGGAGCAAACAGATCAAACACTGTTCTCTTTGCACACCATCTGCTCACCTTGAAGCAACAGATAAATGGGCATTTGGGTTGCCTAGTCTGAGAAGTCTCTGTGGAAAAAAATAGCGGCATTGTATAATGCATATAGACCTAGACTTCTGGGTTTGAATAGTTCTATGACCTTAGGTAAGTGACTTCACCTATTGGAATTACTATGAGGGTTAAATGAGTTAATATTTATTATACACTTATAATACCAGGTACATATTCAAGTGTTTGAATAAGAAAAGTCTCAGTCTCTCCTAGGAAATTACATGCAAGCTTTTTTCAGCTAATAACCTGAATCTCTTTTCTTAAAGAGATTCTTAGGATTGGAATCTCTTTTCTTAAAAGGGATGCTGTCAACTCAGCCATTAAAATGTCAGGACATTCCTTTTCCTATTTTAGGAGCCACATGATGCTTCTTTAGACCCAGGGTCTGGTCTTGTATTAACTGGGGGAATTGGAAAAAATTGTTAGATTATTTTTGCCTTCTGTCCTACCCCCAACTTCTAGTCAATCAAAACTTGGATATTGGCAACAAGAAATATTCTAATACATTATGAAGCATAGCTAGTTGAAAGGGACCAACACATTGTGCCTACGATCCAGTCAAGCTGATAACCTCCTCCTTATTTCAGCAGCTGACCCAGTGGAACTTTGACATTAAACTAGAGCTAGAAATCAAGAAGCCCTTCTTGGAGGCTATTTAAAATGGTGTATTAGCGCCCTGGCACTAAGACTCTATAGGGAGCTCTGCTTAAACATTCTTTTGGTTTTGACCTTGAAAATTTAATCAGGACCTGTAACTGGGGCCTGTTTTTAACTATGAATTGCTTGCCAAATGGCACAAAATTTATTTGACTTGCCCCAATAAACACTATACTTCTCTTTAAGATTCTGGATCAAGTGACCTCTTAATTTAGGCATCTTGCTCCTTGACATCCACTTCCAGAAATTTGTTTTTGTAGAGTGCTGTGAGGGATTTGGCCCAATGCCGAATTCATTGGGATTTGCATTTCAGAACTTCTCTGCAGAGGGGGAAATATAATTAAATAACAAACAAAGGAGGTGAAAACTTCCAAGCCCAGTGGCAAACGTTAAAAAGAAGCCTATTTCTCCTTTCCAGAAACTTTGTGGAATCTTCCCAAGTTGATATTGCAGCTTCTTCCAGGGAAGCCGACTTCCCAAAGTAAGGAAACCCTGCTTTGAATGGGCTGCATCCAGTGGTCTTTTTTTTACTGGTCTATCCCCAGTAAAGAAGACTTTTGCTTGGTAAAAACCCCAGTGTATGTATGCATAATACAATAGATAACGAAGGAGGGGGTGTATGTGCATGCATGTCAGATAACACACATGTGTGAACCCTTTCAGTCTCAGAGAGGGACACGTACCCCAACACAGGTTTCTTCAGAGCTGCTGATTCCAGGCTATAGACGGACTCCAGCATCTTAGGCAACTGTCATTAAACAAGGAAACGAGGCAAATGACCTTGAGAATGTGTGAGGTGCTCTGCAAGATTTAGGGCCTCGCCTACAAAAACTTCACCCAAACGGTCACTGGTGGTGAAATTTTCATTGCACAAATGGAATGTGACATTTTTCAGAGTTAATGATGATTGAACAAGTTGAAAGTGAAAGGCAGACCTTCCCAAGCTGGGGAGGCTGGCCATTTGATCATCCCATGGCGAAATGAACTTGCTGTTTGACCACAAGCAATAAAAAGAAGTTGTCTTTGGTTTCTCAGCTGGAGGACAAATGAGAACCAGGTGCAGGCAGATTTTTAAACAAATGACATTACTAATTGACTTTTATCCTCTTACCAAAGGGCGGGTTTATTCACAGTGAGCGTTGCTTCTCAATATGTTTACCTCTAGATGAACATGAATATTTTTAGTAAATCAGTAAAACCTGCCTATTTGGGTTAAGCATTAGGAGTATTGTTACTTTATTTCTCATTTTCACTCTTTTAATTGCTTTCATCATTACTTTATTTACCAGTTGGATCTGCCTTCTCATTAAAGCAAGAAAATTCCATAACATTTCATTTCAAAATCAATGGGATAATAACAACTCCATTGCTAGAGGAAGTGGTTGAAAAAAGTCATTTATAAATTTTATTTGTCAGCATCCAGACGTTACATCAGTCGGAATTGTTGTAACACCTCAGACTCCCATTCTTTAGTAAACTCTCAGTCCTTCATTCACCGTAAGCCTTCGTCTTCCTCAGTATTCCTGTTGGGAAGACACTTCCCCTTCCATCTTTTCCTACACTCTCTGCAGCCAGCAGTTGGATGTTCATTTTTAACATATCAGGAACCCAGAGCCATCTTGTACACAGGCTGCTACATAAAGTCTTTCCTCCCTTTCCCTGCAAAAGGGTGAGTTTCTACTCAAAATGGCCAAATCAATAGGCTGGTTACTATTAGCATCTCCAAATAGGGCATCACCTCTCCACTTACCACTGACCATCTGGGTGGCGTAGCTGTTTCTCTGAGGTGCAGTGTGGAGGGTGAGCTACAGGCTGTCTGTGATCTCTTTGGCCTTTATAAGGCTCAAATTCTTGGGCAAAAAAATACATTCTACACTTAAAATGAGTACATTGTATGGTAAGTAAATTATACTTCAGTAAGTTGCTTGTGTGTGTCTACTTACCTACCCACCGACACGGTAGAACTAAATCTTTTAAGTTCATTGCCAGTTTTATACCCTAAATATTTTCTTGGTGCTAAGTAAGCAAGTATAACAAGAGTTAGTTTCAACCCAAGAGAGCTGCATTGCGATCATCCGGTTTATTCAATTGTGGATGAATTTCCTCCACTGTCCAGCTAAGGTAAATCTCCTAAGATCTGTGCCTACTTGGGCAAAGCTTGAAAGGAAAGCATTCGAACTGTCCAGAGCAAAAAGGAAGAGCAGATGTAACCCACGTACATATCACACCTACACAGCCAGCCCTTCTCTCATGAAAGCTACATATTTTTTGTTGATGACGGAAAATGTACCCAGTGGCGATTTGTCAGATGAATTAGCTCCAAAATATTGACCTGGTGTCGGCAGTAAATAGACATCCACTAACCATAAAAGGATTCACGGAATGACCAGCCTGGGTAGTTTTATGGTCTCCTCCCTGCTCATTTTCAGTTTTCGTCATTTCAGTCTGTAAGTTGAACTCTAATACCATCCTTTTATAAGGGTGAAATACAGCAAACCAATAAAAATATCACAGTTTGTTTCCAAAAATGTGTGCCTTGACTTCAGCCTGTTGCCATGATTGCATATCTGATTGAGCAGTTTGCCAAGGAAGCCCAGGTTGCTATGTGCAAGTAGCGTGCTTGCAACATCAGCTTCTAGTGATGGGAATATCTGCCAGTGGGCTTTCCTAAGACGTGTATCAGTAACACCCACCCTTGCCCAGGAAACTCATGAAGTAATAGGTCAGCTCAACAACGTCGTGATTAAAGTGAAACAGCCAGGAAATGGTGGAAATCTGCAGGAAAGGCTTCCTAGGATCTGATCTTCCTCCAATCGGGGAGACATGGTGATGTTTCACAGAAGGAGTGATTAGGTTTCCATATTCCTATTTCCTTTACCCAACCCCAGCTGACTGATAAGAATTGTATGAACAATTTAAAAGCTGTTCCCTGTGAGTCAGAGGTTGAGCTAAATTGAAACAGACTGTTTTCACACATATCAGTTACTCAGAATAATAGGATATAAAGGGAGCTGAGGATTAAGGATTTTTTTTTCAAACTTTTTATTTATAATTTTTTTCTTAAGTCACTGGAGGAAAATGGTTTTAAAGTGTGCCCTGGATTCACTGTCATCTCCAGCTATACAACAGGGAGCAGAGTTGAACTGCTGTGAAGAAATGCCTTTGTACCTTGGCGCTTCACTATTTAATAGATTTGAGACTTCACTGAAACCCTCCTACTGTGTTTCTATCAGACTTAGGTGAGGACGTTGCTCGCTTCGTTGTAGTGGGTTTGGTTTGGTTTTGATTTCCTTTTAATATTTTTATTTTATTTTATTTTATTTTTGGCTGCGTCAGGTCTTAGTCACGGCATGCGGGATCTTCATTGCGGCGTGCGGGATCTTTCCTTGCGGCACGTGGGCTTCTCTCTAGTTGTAGCGCACGATTTTCTCTCTAGTTGTGACATGTGGGTTTTCTCTTTCGTTGTGGCGCACGGGCTCCAGAGTGCATGGGCTCTGTAGTTTGCAGCACTCAGGCTCTTTAGTTGAGGCATGCGGGCGTGGGATCTTAGTTCCCCAACTAGGAATTGAACCCACGTCCCCTGCCTTGGAAGGCAGATTCTATACCACTGGACCACAAGGGAAGCCCCTGGTTTTGATTTTTAATGTATTCTTGTAAGTAAAAACATGAGCTTTGTGTTTCAGAGTATTCATTTTCATCAGCAAACCCTTGTAGCGTTGGGATAATTAGGGAATGACACCAGAGGGGGTGTAAACTGATTGAGAAAGCTTCCCAGGCATGAGGACCACCTACTTCCTCGAAGGAAGGCAGGCAAGCTCCCCTCTTCATTCCAACCCGCAAGCGAAGGGCAGGCCAGTGAGAAAGGTGGCTGGACCATAATCACAGCATGTGATAGGCAATCACGAAGCCTCTGTTCGTTGAATAAACGGATGAATGGAGAACC